ATCAGGCTCTCTGCTCGGCGGGGAGCCTGCTTCTCCCTCTGACCCTCCCCCCTCTCATGTGTTCTCTCTCATTCTCTCTGTCTCAAATAAATAAATAAAATCTTTAAAAAAAAAAAAAATTTCCTGTGCCCTGTAATAGGTCTGGGTCTGTAAAATACCCCTTAATACAATTTTTAAGGTCAAACCTGTTCAGTGATTTTTGGTCTCAGAGTTGTTTTTTATGTTTCTGTAAGACATTCCTTCAGGAGCCCTTGACCTGTAGTGTTGTGAATGGCTTGCTTTCCAGATCTTTATACAGCTGCTCTCCTGGGACTATCTCCTCCTCATTCGGGGAATTCTCTCCTATGTTGGCACCCTTGATTTCTGGATCTTGTATCTTCTTTTTGGTGTTCTGCCTCATTTTTGTGGAGCGCATTCGTCTTACAGCTTTATGGAATTGGGGCATGAGAAATTTTGGGGGATCTGTGAATCCGAAAATGTATTTTACCATCGCAATGGACAGTTTGGCTGAGTGTAAAAATCATGGGTGAAAAGTCTTTTCCTTCAGAATTTTGAAGTCATTATCCCTCCATTCTTTGAGCTTCAGATGTTGCTACTAGGACTTCTGGTACCATGCGGATTCCTTTGGCTTGGTTTTATATATTTGTTTTATTTTTTGTTTCCTCTCTGGAAGCTTCTAGAATCTTCTCTTCATGTGTGATGTTTTGAAGTTTTATAAAGATATGTTTGGGTGTGGGTCTTATTCATCATAGTGGATTCTTAGTGTTTTGGAGACTTAAACCTTACAGATCTGGGACATTATTTGCTTATAGTATTTTTTTTTTTATAATTTCCTCCCCCGCTCTTCTTATTTTTCTTTGATTGCCCATTGTTATTGTAATTTTCACATTACAAGAGCTCCTTTTTCCTTTCTAAGAATATCCTTCTTTTGTTTTATGCAAGCAAGAGCTTCTTCAAGGGATAGTCATTATAATTTCTTGGAGATTTTCTTCTGTTCCCCATTACATTTTTAGTTTATATAATTTCTGTTTGTTGGAAGCCTGGCTACCTTGTGTCCTGGAGCTGGAAGGAGGAGGCGAGCTAGGGTGTCTCACTCTTCAGTCTGCTGCTATCCACTGACTGAGTTCTTGGTTTTTATCCATCATATCACACCTGCCCTCCTGTGTCTGGAGCCCCCAAATCCAGAGCCTCTAGGATTGTTTGGTTTTTTAAAGAGAAGAATTTCAGGTCTTCTGTGGGGTAGGGAGATCTGTAGACAGAGCTCTGTGGGAATCTATTTTTTTTATACATGTTTTGAATCAGTTCCCTGTTTTCAGCCCTGCCTCGCCTTTCAAGCTACCCAGGAGTCTAGTTTCAGGGCTTTTTAAAGCCCTGGATGACTTGCTTCTCACTGGTGTTCCCCTTGTAAGCTTGCATCTCCTTCTCTTGCTGAGTCATTTGGGACTCCTCCATCTGATTTCTATCTTCATATATTGTAATTTGGAGATTATAAATGTCTTCTAGTTTTGTCAGATCTGACAAAATTTTGTCAGATTGTATTTCTTTATCTTGTTTTCTTTGGAGGGAGTTTTTGAGACTAGAGTGCAGAGAAATCAACATTTACCCTATCATCTTGAAACAGAAAAATCTGTTTTGTTTTAGAGAGAGAGAGATTGGGGCGGGGGGGGGAAAGCAGAGGGAGAGAGAGAATCTTAAGCAGGCTTCACACTCAGCCTGGGCTCGATCTCACCACCCTGAGATCACAACCCAAGCTGAAATCAAGAGTCAGACGCTTAACCAACTGAGCCACCCAGGTGCCTCAGAAAAATCCCATTTGATCTTAAGTGGCTAGTATCAGGTTTTCTCTTTGTTTTGGATTTAATAATTTCCACATTTATCTTAAGCAAAATTTAGTCTGTTAGATGCATTGGTGTTTTTTTTTTTAAGGTAAAGAAATGATGAATATGACTTAATTGCCTAGAGAAAATTATATTAATTCTTAACTTATGGAGCTCTGTAGTGTACAAATTATCATTCCATCTTAGTGGTGTTTTCAAGACTAGCTTATACTCCAAGGAATCCCACTTTTTATTCCAACAACTTCTGATAGAAATTTGTCTAACATTTATGAAGTCTTTCCTGCATTTTTGAACAGAAAGGGATGAGTGTACCCTTCTCTTGGTTTCCCAGACGTCCTACTGACATCACGGATTGCTCTGTGCTAAAATTTGGTGACACCTCGGGGACTGGCCCCTCCTCTTTCGCTGAATCCTTCCAGGCGCTTGCTTTATAAATTCATAATTGATTTTGCAGAGGTGGCTGTCACTTCCCTGTTGAATCAGCTTCGGAAGGGGCCTTCCAATCCCCTGACACCTTACTGCATTTAATTGAAGGTCTAGTGTGCTCAGGAAGAGCTGAGATCGGCAGCAGAAGCCAAATACCCAGGCTGGCCCAAAATTTAATTCCAAGTCGGAGTCAAGTAGACTTCGGTGGAATAGCATGGGGATAACTCCTCCACATTCTGTGATTCTCTCGGGGTGACACTCCCAGGCACTGTGGCAGCTCTGTTCTCGTCTTCTCAGCCCGCGGCCGGGTATTCTCAATCTTAGCACAGCTGACACTTTGGAGGAGATGCTGCTTTGTGGTGCGGTGGTATTGTCCTGGGCATTGCAGAATGGTGAAGAGCATCCCAGGTCTCGGTCCATCCATTGTCAGTAGCACATATGTGCCGGCTGGGACAGCCAAGCCAACTATCCCCCAGGGGACAACATGGATTCCTACTGAGAACTTCAGACTAGGAGTCTCCTCTTTTTTCAGATTTTGTAACTCTGTTCTGGATATTTGAAGTTGTAGAAAATGTGGCAGCAAGGGCCCAGAATAGTATTGTAATTCCTTATAATTTTGTAGAATGTGGGATAATTCATAAAGCGCCCATATTTCCATAATTTGCCAAATCGTCATTGTTTTAAATATACTGATAACTAACATTTGTTAAGTGCTTGCTTTTTTTTTTTTTTTTTGAGCCCACACAGGGTGCCGGGTCCTGTTGTAAACACTGTCAATACCCTAAGGGAGAAATGAGCGCTGCCCCCGTTTTGGCAGATGGGGAAACTGAGGCACAGAGCATTTCGGCAAATTGCTTGAGTTTATACAGGGTGGAAGTGGCAGGACTGAGATTCACACCGAGGCAGGAGGACTTCAGAGCACAAGCTCTTAACCAGCACTTTGTGCAGTGGTTGATTTTAAGGTGCTGAGACCAAAACACCAGCTGCGCTTGTAGACTTTAGCCCGTCCATTCTGAGCACCAAGAGGGCAGGACTGCACACGTTTTCCACCTTTCCATTCCTCTTACCTGGGCCAGTACCTGGCAGATTGTAGAGGCACGGTGAAGGTTCATTTTAATAAATGAAGTAAACACCAGTCTCATGGGTTGTTGACGCGAAAAGAGGAGCCCAACAAAAACTAAGTGTTATGGTTTCTCAAAGGAAGCTCAGTGGTGGTATTGTAAGTACTGATGTGCTAAACAGGTGTCTGTCATTGGGGGATCCCTGCCTTTGGTGAGGAGGTGCAGGGACCAGGCCAGTAGCCTCCAGCCTGGGGCAGTGGTCTCCTTGTTGGCGGGCAGTTTTGGGAAATGAGAGCTTGGGTGTCAGAGGGTCACCCGCACTTTAACAAAACCCACCAAAGCATGGGTGCGTACCGGTAAGACACACTTGCATAATTTAGACTTTCTTTGACGGTTCTAGAAGGCAGAACCTTGTAGCACTCCCAGGTCCCAATCACAGACGCTCCGTATGCTATGAGACCCCAAGGGGCTGGTTAATTGAGAGCTTGAGTTTCTGGAGAATGTTGACTAATGGGTGTTTCCAGTCACCTTCACCCAAGATGGTAGTGCTTTCAGGAGACCGTGATATGTGAGTGTTCTGACATTTCCCTCAAAGCTCTTTCCAGATTGTTTCAGGAGGGGGTGGGAGTGCATGTACTATGGTTTGGTCCTGATACAAGGCTGATGTTAGCTGGCGCAGAGATGGTAGGGCCCCACTCATGGAAGCCTTGGCCGTGTTGTTCGTCTGCTGTAGCTGGACTGCGAGTTTCACATCACTGTTGCCCATTAGAAGTAAGGCTGCCCCAGAATTTGAGCTGAGAGGTGCTCAGAGGGAGGAAAGGTGGGCTGGCCTGCTTTCAAATATCACTTAGAGTTTTTTTCTGATTCTGTATTTGTGAAATAGCTATGGGAATAGCCATGGGTTCATGTAGAAAGGATCTTAGTAAATTAGGAAGCTTCACTTAGTTCAAATATCCTTTTTTCCCCCTTTTATCTCATCCTTCCTTCCTTGGAATTCTTTCTTGAAATGGTGTTAATACAGGGAAAATTCCAGAGCAGAAATGTCACATACCTTGTAAATTCAGGTCAAAAGAATCTTTGGTAGCAATAGTAGCCAAAACTCAACACGTCAAGTGACTTAAATGCCAGTAAATAAATATTCAGTAGATAAACTTACCCTTCAACATTCAGCTCGGATAGCACCTCTATCCTGCTCTCTCCCAGACCAAGTAAGCCATTATCCTTAAATGCTCCTGTAGCAGTTTGCTCCGGTTCCTGGAATAACACAGGCCCCATTGTGTTTCTAATTTATCTGTTTTCATGTCTTTCTTCCTGCCTGGATGGTGAGGTTCTGGGAGGGAAGGATTCACCTTTGTATCCCCAGCACCTGGCATGTGTAGGCTGGTACGTAGGAGACGGTCTGTGCCTGCCGGATGCATGAGTAATAGGGGAGCTCATTAAATTTCATCTTCAACACTGGGCAAGAAGAGGACGTATCATATTGAAATATTTCCAACTTGTTAATAACAGGCCACTCCGTGTTATGATTTAGGAAAAGGAGTGTTCAGGACATAGTGATTTTTTTCTCTGTCCTGTGCTCATTTTCTTCTACCCCCCGCCCCCGAGCCCCCACAAGTCTCATGAAAATATTCATTGATTCTGGGTCTTTTTGAAGAACATCTCTCTTTCTTTCCAGGCAGGTATTAATGAAAATGACTTTTACGATGGGGCGTGGTGTGCAGGAAGGAATGACCTCCATCAGTGGATTGAAGTGGATGCTAGACGTCTGACCAAATTCACTGGTGTCATCACTCAAGGAAGGAACTCACTTTGGCTGTAAGTGTGGGTAGACCTGTGCTTTTCTAGACTCCATGCCTTGGGTCTAATGTTATAGGGTTTGGACAGAGACAGGGAAGATGCAGAGAAGTATCTGGTGATAAGCAACAGAAGTGAAGAAAATTGGAATGTGGACAGGATGCTGGGCTTGCTGTAGACACAAGCATCTCTTGAAATGATGTTATCCCCTGTACGAGAAGAGAGAGAAGGACCCACCTGGCAGGTTGGGCTGAGTAGACAAAGGTGTTGTAAAAACAATGCAGCTTAGGCAGGTGGCTGCCATCTTGGATCTGTGATGAGTTACTGGTACCCTGACTGGTAGACTGAACACAGCCCAAGCTGGGAACTCTGACAGTGAGCAATAGGTAACAGGTCCAAGCCACTGTTCTGGAGTAGATGGTATGAATCCTTTAGAATCTGAGGACTGGAAGCCCAGAGAGGTTCCCAAATAAAGGACTGTAGAGAAGTAGTAGAAATGAAGGGTGAGCCAGTATGAGGCCTGAGAACGAGATGGAGCCCATTTCTCAGAATTGACCTTGGGCCCAGGGTTGGGTCAATAACAAGATGAAACTGATAGTAATCCTAAGAGAGGTAGGCTCTTCATCCCATGGTAAAGGCACACAGTGGAATATTGCATATTACTCAGCCTTAAAAGGAGAGGACATTCTGACACGTGCTATACCATGGATGAGCCTTGAGGACATTATGCTAAGTGGAATAAACCAGTCACAAAAGGACAAACATTGTGTGATTCTACTTAGTGAGACCCCTTGGTGGCCGCCGGGGCCTGGAGGAGGGGGAATGGGGAGTTGTTGTTTAATGGGTCCTGAGTTTCAGTTTGGGGTGATGGAAAGTTCTGGAGCTGGATGGAGGTGGTGGTCGCACAGGGATGTGAATGCACTGAATGCCACTGAATTGTACACTTAAAAATGGCTGGAATGATACATTTTATGTTATGTATCTTTACTGCAATAATGAAAAATTGTATGTGCCAAAACAATGCGCACAATAAAACCAAACAACCTCCCCACCTCAACCTGGGGCTGGTCATGGAGACGGAAGCAGGGCCACATCTGTGGGGTTGTCCTGTGACTCCAGCCATGTGGACAGCAGACAAGTGAAGACCGGGAGCTAGGCAAGGCCTAGAAGGGTCCATAGGACCTTGGGTGCTGTCTGAATTTAAGCAAGAATTTTCAGGTTCCTCTGACATCTGATGACAACTGAGAAGCCAAGGGCACAAAGGCCTCCCACGCTGACATTAGGAAACTGGCCCAGTTAGCTAAGACCCCTCCTGCCCTGCCCACCTCACCTTCCTGTCTGTGCCACACTCTAGAATTTCATTTCAGTATTTGCTCATTACCTCTTGGCAGTTGTGTAAAATCTGTCTGTAATTTGTTGATTCGATTACTTTTTAATTCCTGGAAAGGTCAACGTTAATAAATAAACCAGGATAAAGGAGGGGAACCTGACATCTGTGCTCACATTTAACTGCCTGTCATTGTCACTGTAGAGGGGACTTTCTTACGTAGTGACAGTTGTCAGGCAGTGACTCATCATCTATTTTCCTCTGCGCTTTTTTATCGTAAAGACGATATTATAACATCTAGCAACATTTAAAAACAGCACCCATGATTCCACTGTCCTTAGACAAACATAGTTTTTTGGGGGACATATTTGTAATCCTATTACATATGCAATCATGTTATTTTAACTTAAGGACGTATCAAAGCATTTTTCATGCTGTTACTGAGACTTCGTAATGGTCATTTTTTTTTTTTTTTTTTAAAGATTTTATTTATTTATTTGAGAGAGAGCACATGAGAGGGGGGAGGGTCAGAGGGAGAAGCAGACTCCCCGCCGAGCAGGGAGCCCGATGCGGGACTCGATCCCGGGACTCCAGGATCATGACCTGAGTCGAAGGCAGTCGCTTAACCAACTGAGCCACCCAGGCGCCCGTAATGGTCATTTTTAATAGCCTGTAATTTACCTTGCCATGGCTCCGGCTACCTTCTCAGTTTTCTGGTGTCACATATCATTTTGCAAGAAAGCATTTTCATACTTTTTTCTTCCTTTGAATTATGTCCTTCAAATACATTTCCGGAGCTGGGATAATTTGTGCATTTTGACAACATTTGGTTATGTATTTGTGCTGTTTTGTGTAGTGCGTTTTTTTTCACTTTGCTTTTCAGCAGCGCCCATGTATGTGCTCATAATGATGATTTTTGCTCTGTGGTGTGCACTGTGCTCTAATCAGCTCATTACCATGACAATTGTTTTCACTGTTTAGATTCTGAAAGGCAAGAATTTGGGGGAAGAAAATGTTGAATTGCTCAAGGGGAATGGAAACTTGGACAGAAAGATTGATCTTGAGATTATCCATAGGGATGAATGAAGGGATTTTACCTTAATGCTGGGATATTAACCTGTCTAACCACTGTCATTAGAGAGCCAGTGGTCGAGTTATTATTGGATTAGAAAGACCGAGCAGCGTAGGAATAACACTCACATTCCATTTCATCTAGAACACAAGAGCATTTTAGGTGAACAAGAAATTGCAGTAGAACAGTATCTTTCTTTGACTATGCCTAGGACAGGAACATCTTAGAAGACAAGGGATAGAATTGCTTTTTTTTTTTTAAAGATTTTATTTATTTATTTCAGAGAGAGAGAATGAGAGAGAGCACATGAGAGGGGGGGGAGGGTCAGAGGGAGAAGCAGACTCCCCGCCGAGCAGGGAGCCCGATGCGAGACTCGATCCAGGGACTCCAGGATCATGACCTGAGCCGAAGGCAGTCGCTTAACCAACTGAGCCACCCAGGCACCCGATAGAATTGCTTTTAAGAGTCAGATTTTTTTTTTTTTGGCTAAATGTCTTTTAAGTCAAATTGTCCTTCAAGGACGATGGAAAGAAATTTGATGAGTTTCAGTTTGTCTTACCTCCTGGAATAGGAATGTCTCCACTAAGGACTGAAGAGGAAATAGGACAAGGATGAATTTTGGTATCTGAACCTTTTTATTCCCCAGAGGCATGAATAATGGTAGAAGCATTGGGATCTGTCCCAGGATGACCAGAAAACATGTCAGCCATGGGAACCATCAAATGCTGACAATGAAGAAGGCAGCAGGTGTCCCTCTTTCCCTCTCCCCATGACCTCGGTCCCCACGCTGTTCCCAGGACAGGTGTCTATGGTACCATTTTTTTTTTTTTTTAAGATTTTATTTATTTGACAGAGACACAGCGAGAGAGAGAACATAAGCAGGGGGAGTGGCAGGGAGAGGGAGAAGCAGGCTTCCTGCTGAGCAGGGAGCCCGACATGGGGCTCCATCCCAGGACCCTGGGATCATGACTTGAGCCGAAGGCAGATGCTTAACAACTGAGCCACCCACGGGCCCTTATGGTACCATTTTTAATATTCCTATTTACGGGCTTCTGTGTTCCTCCCTGCTGGTCTGGGAGTACCTTTATGATAGAGACAGTGCCTGGTCGCCTTGCCCTGTACCAGGCATCTATTAAGACACTCAAGTAATGATTTTTTAATGAACGAATATTGTTAGGAAGTAACAAATTGACAAAGGTCCGTTCACATGGAATGGTAATGAGTTCATTAATCTGCGAGTGTCAGTGACCGAGAACAAGTTTGCAGTGGGAGTCGGGAGAGGAGAGGGGCCGTGGAAGGTTGAGGAGTGACGATTTCTAGTGATGTATGGTAGCATGGACAACAGAACGCCTTTGGAGTCACGTCACGGCTCTTGACTCTTGTTGGTTATGAGACTTCCCTTCCCTTGGAACCTCAGCTTGTTGCCTGAAATAAGATAACTATTCCCTCTATGGGGTCAAGATGCAGTGGAGGTCAAATGAAATTACCCAGCACATAGTAAGTGCTCAGTAAATGTTAGTTTCTTCCCTCTGCATCTCTTTGGGTTTATTTAAAACAGTGGCTTGGAAGCTTTATTTTTAGCCACAGAAACCTTTGGAGGATACAGGGAGGCTAGGCTGCGCTGTGTGAATCTGGGGGGCGCAGGGGAGCTTTGCCTGCCTAGCCCGACCTCCCCCCCCCCCCACCCCAGCGGAGCAGCCCTGGAGGATGCCTTCATCCACGTAGCTCTGGTAACAAGCATACTGAACGGCCTGAGGGCCCTCTGGGCCGGTTACAACCCTGCCTGCTCCTCCAAAGGCCCGTGGCTGCTTCCTGAATCTTGTCGGGTAAAGGGAAATTGTGGAATTCAAGCCAAGACAAGCAAGGGCAGGGTAGGAATTAGAGCTTGATTTTTCTAGTTAAACATGCAGAACCTACCCTCATCTCAGAGAGTTGCATTTTGGTTGGGAATGTTTTAGGAATGGAAGGGCAAGAGGTTGCCGGCCCTTTGAGGTCGGAGCCAGTGGGTATTGCTGTGTACAAAGGCTTCTGTCTGGTTGTTAGAGTACGGGAGCATGTGGGAGTTACAATGCATATATATTTAAGGATATTATTAATACTTTTCATCTGTAGGACTTTCATAGCTGGTATTTTTTTTTTGTGTGAAGATTTTATTTATTTATTTGTCAGAGAGTGTGAGAGAGAGATGAGAGAGCACACACAGGGAGAAGCAGGCTCCCCACTGAGCAGGGAGCCCGATGTGGGGCTCGATCCCAGGACCCTGGGATCATGACCTGAGCTGACGGCAGACGCTTAACAACTGAGCCACCCAGGTGCCTCATATGGTTGGTATTTTTAAGTGAACATCCATAATCTTACTTGTTTCTGACATTCTCTTTGTGTGTTTATGAATTCATTCAGCTGTTACTGAGCACTCCGTACTCAGCCCTAGGGATACAAGGTGAGCAAGGAGTGGCCTGCTTGCAGGGAGCTTTCATTCTGGTGGAAGAATCCAGTATGTTAACAGATTCACTAGCATCCGCAAAGTACCCGTTGATGAGGGATGGGGAAAGAGCTGTTATCAGATTTGGGATGTAGGCGTGAAGGAACATATGGCAGGTCACAAGGCTTAGCCTAGGTCTG